AACCTTTCTGTGACCTCCCAACCATCAGGATGCCAAGGGTCTGACCAAGCAATGATTCCCGGTTGATTAAGACAGGCATCGCCTTCTTGACAGCCCACTAAGTCAGCACAAAGATCATGCTGGCTGTACTGATCACGGAACTTGATAGCGTTATCGCGCATGCCACCCGATGGGAAAATGTCGATCCAACATTCGTGGGGTGTCGAGCTTTGCGTGGGAGTAGGCATCAAAGTCTCTGGCACTTGACAAGGTGTTGGAAATAGTGGTGTTGTGTGAAGGTCCGGTGTGCATGGGCTAGTGAGCAGAGACGTGAGAGATAGGATATGAATGTTGGTAATGGTAGCCCTGAAGACATTGTAAAATACCAGCGGGATGAGGTGATCCTTATACAGAGGGAGCCATGTAGTGGGATTCTGGAAGTAAGGCGGCACACGCCTTCCTAAGCGCGATTTGCCATTATTGTGGTTGCGTGCAGGTCGCTGTATCTGTGCAAATATCACAAGCCCCTTCGCAGCGACACGCAGGCGAGTTTGGCTCTCATCTCTTTCAGAACGAGGATTTGAACAGCGGTGTGCTTCAGCTGCAGGCTGTCCCGGTGGAGCCCACTGTATAAAATCTAGACTTGTTCCCGAGCTCAGATTAGGTCGTGATTCTTTGTTAGAAGATCCATATGACATATCAGGCGTTAATGTTTCCGTCTGCCCAATTTGATGCAATTCGAGAGCCTTTCGCTTTCCTGTGAGCCGCGTCAGCAATCTCTCGGTAGTACTAAGCCTGGTTGGGTGGCCTCATACTGTAGGCTCTGACATTGAGGCGATTTTGTCTCTTGCGTCTTTCCGCTCGATCACGAAGACCAGTCCAGTCATCATCCCGGCATTGTGCTTCCGAGGAATGAAGCATGGGTGCCGAGACAATCATTTGTGGTTCCCTTTCCAAAGCATGCATTGCGGAACTTGAGAAGTATGGAGCGGCTGACGCGTCAGGTTCTTTAGTCGACGTATTTCAGCCAGATGGAAGGTACAACTTTCGTTCGAAATAATCTGTATAGATAGAAGATGAGTTTGAGTGAAGGACGTTGATGGAATCTCAGACGAAATTGTTGTTGTTGCATCCTGCTAACTGCCAAGGGTGTGTCAAGGGATTGTCCAACTCCTTCATCCTCTGGAAGTGGAGCTCCTGCAATGGGCTTACAAGGCTTTCCCTCTTCCGGACGAACCTCCCAATCAGCCGGAGATGTTCAAGACCAATGAGGGTGTTCATTTGTGTGGGGTCTTGCCGCTATGGTCGTGGGTGTTTTAATTGGTCTTCACAATCTTCGTGCCAGGTTCCGATGCCCACGTGGAAGCAAAACGTGTACCTCAATATGCCAGCAAGGATCAGGATGTTGTCGGAGAATTTCATCCGAAAGGAAAGGAAGAAAACAAGCTCAGCTTCGGAGATGCACTTTCGCTGTCAGATTTGCTGAGGATGGGGCCGCGGCTGGAGTTTTACCAAAGACTCTGTGATCTCAGGCTGGACGAACAAGCACGACGGTGGTTCAAGCCATCAACACTCCGATTTCAAGGCTTTGGTAGGTTTGACAGACTCTAGCGAATTGGTAACATGGCCCTGTAGACTTTGTTTGAAAGAGTAATTCCATACTATGTTCATTACCTCCTTGAATTACGCAAAGCGACTTTATAGGCCGACTGCATTGACACACGTCCGCGATCTAACCGACGTACGAGGACACTGCATCTATCTTGCGACGTTATTATCCTCAGCCACGTTTACTGCTCCCATAATCTAGTGTGTTTGAGAATCCTGCCGATTCAAGAAAACTTTCCTAGAATCCCATCTTCATGAAAGATTTAAGGGATGAAGGGCACTGATTGGTGTCCCAATGGTTGATGGCGAACCACATCCAGCCTTGGGGAGGGAATTGCCACCGCGATGAGTATTTCCAAACTCGACATGGAGCAAGCGCGGCTGAGCATGAGATTCTTTCGTCCTGCATAGCCCGAGTGCTAGGCTGCCAGGATGTGCAGAGTTATTGGCCAGCCAAGCCAGTCTTTCCGCAGCTGACAGCCGCATTGGTAACAGCGTCTTATCTGATCTCGACCATATGTCTCAGTGCTACCGCTTTGCGTCTAGCTGATCTAGTCTCATTTCTTTCACATACCATGCGAGCCCACACCAGTATTCTCCGTGGGGTGGCCGAGAAGTGTGCCTAGCTTGGAACCATGGGCTTGGGATCGGAGGCTGGACTTGTCTGGCTTCGCTTCTGGGCCCTGCCGTCAACAAATCTCCCATAGGAACGCAGCGAGCCGGTGCTGCATCCCGAAAAGAGCTGATGAAGCTACATCTAGACCATCTCGTGAGTTGGCCTTGACCCCACCGCCATTGAGTATAATACATTCACGTTGGTCACCTCTTCGAAGCATCGTGTGACACTCTCCGGAATCCTCTCCACGACACTCCTTCAATTGTGAAATCGTCTCATTGGCGTTTTTGTTTTCCGCAGCGGCACCTTTTGTTTATCCTCACACTCGCAGGAGTAACTTCTAGCCGGTAAAATTGATCGACATTCCATTCACGTCCCGGTCACTTCCTCAATCATGTTGAGATCCATTAGCACCGCCGCAGCTTTGCTGGCTCTGCTGTCAACGTCTCAAGCCCAAATACCCAAAGTCAGCGGTTTCACCTTGGTGTGGTATGACGATTTCAGCGGCAAAGCCAACACAGTTCCAGACCAGAATAACTGGATTATCGACACTGGGACCAGTTATCCCGGCGGCCCAGCAAATTGGGGCACATCGGAAATCCAGTCATACACCAACAGCCCCAACAATATCCGAGTCAATGGCGCTGGGAATCTTCAGATCACCGCCATCAAGAACCCTTCCACGGGAGCATGGACTTCCGGGAGGATTGAGACTCGCAGAGCCAATTTCATGGCGCAGCCAGGGAAGACCATGCGGATCCAGGCTAGTCTGAAAATCCCTAATCTAGGAACCAACGCTGGTATTGGCTACTGGCCCGCGTTCTGGACCCTGGGCGCTGAATATCGTGGCAACTACTGGTAAGCTTTTCACCCCCGGCCTACCCTAGACCTTCAGTCTAACCCATCTTGTCTAGGAACTGGCCGGCAGTTGGTGAGATCGATATCATGGAAAATATCAACAATCTTGACCGCGCTTATGCCGTCTTGCACTGCGGCACCCAGCCTGGTGGCGCTTGCAATGAGCCATCTGGCCTCAGCGGGTATCGTTCTTGCCCTGGAAGTTCCTGTGCCGGTAACTTTCATACCTTTACCGTAGAGGTCGACAGATCAAAGTCTGTAGAAGCGCTTCGCTGGTATGTGGACGGCGTTCAGTTCCACCAGGTTCTTCAGTCACAGATGCCAGCAGCCACCTGGAAGGGGACTGTACAAAAGCCGCACTTCATTCTACTCAATATGGCCATTGGCGGATCTTTCCCCGATGCCATTTACGGAAAGAAGACACCTATCAGTACCACTTTGTCTGGCGGAACGTACGAGGTTGAATATGTTGCTGTTTATCACACTTGATTATGGTTGAAGCCTAGACTGCTCTATGATTTCCTCCAGGATTCTGCACTTATATCGGTTTTGTTTTACTTTAGAAATCAGGATACCACAAGAAATATTATTCCAGCGTTTTACGTCATCATTGCCAAATCATAATTTTGTCCTTCTCGAGCTCTTCCCTCGGCCCTGACATGAATTCACAGTCGATGACTGTCCCTTCAGCGAATGAGCAATTACGGGGCAACCGGCTTCGCCAATCGAATACGGAGTTCTGTCTTCAATCACAATATCGATTTACGATATGGCAACTTCATTCATTTTTGTCCATTTATCATGAGCAGCTATGGTGGTCTTGCAGCCGGCGTATTATTAGACAAGAGTCACAGCTTGCGCAGGCTCCTCTTCGTGGAAAAAAAAAAACTCCTTTCGGATGACAGATGCTGGGAGGAAGGAGAACTGGACATGAGAGCCGCTCTACGGGATATGTCATGCTTTTTCCTCCATCCTAGCCCTCCGTACATCCTGCTGGCGCGATTATATAAGGTAAGGAAAGCGATAAATACAAGGCCTTAGATAAGCCAGTATCTAAGGTAAGTGAACATATGGCAAGTTGAAATGTAAAAAGAAAGGTCATAAATGAATACGGTAGAAATCCGAACGGTCCACGCATCATCGCTTGTGATTTTACATGTACGCACCGTTGCCGCAATAACGCGTGCGACTCTGGCCATTGCAGGACGGTGTGAAGTGTGCCCACTAGCAAAAAACATACACTGTGGTGGAAAGCGTCGATCCAGGAACCGCGGCTGTTCTATGACGACATGCTCGAGCTTGCACTGTGACCACAGATTGAAGTGTGACGAGTGACAACAGCTTCCTTCTGACAAAAGGTCCCAGCCTCGCCACCACTACCTTATCATACCTAGCCATGCACTTAAGTAAATGTAGGCCACGATCAAGAGCTACGTTTTATGTCTATGATAGTCGCATGAGGCCAGCCAGCAATTACTTTGTGCACAGCAATCTCCTCACTATGAAACGCACTGCGATAGCTGCAAACCTTTCCAGTGGAAGTCAAAATGTCAAGAAATCACGGCCGGCAGTACCCGATTATCATTTGACACCCTCGGTAAGGGATGATCACGGCGAAATTGTGTGGCCCGCGCCAGAGAGTAAGATGGAAGCGGCGAGATCCTTCATTCGCGAATGGTACAGTTGGGAAATCCGCGAGCTCAACTGCTGGACTCGAAAATGTGTCGCCTGGTGATTTCTCTCAGTCTTATACTGACACTCTACTAGTGTTTCTGCCGGAAAGCCCACATTGATTGTCCCGGACAAGGACGCCGACGGCCTCACATCTGGGGTCATCTTGGAACGTACCCTAGTTCTTCTTGGCCTAGATCCATCTCTCATTACTGCGTACTTGCCCCCAAAGGGCCATAACATCCACGACGAAGCGTGCCGGGCATAGATGACTTCTCTCATGCCCACCTACATCTTCGTCCTAGACCAAGGCTCTCGTTCTTCGCCACCTCTCATCGACGGCTTCCATCACGGTATTGTCATCGATCATCATCACGCACTGACAAACGACCACCCAAAGGATGCGTTGCATGTCACAGCCTGCGACTCCCCTCCAGTGGCGACAAGCTCTCTACTCACGTACCTCATCTGTCGAAGTCTCGACGAGAGCGTGCGAGAAGCTTGCGACTGGCTTTGCGTCATGGGTACCCATGGAGACTTGGGGAATACCTTGAAGTGGGAGCCTCCGTTTCCCGACATGAAGTCCACGTTCAAAACATACACCAAAAAGGCTCTCAACGACGCCGTATCACTCATCAATGCCCCGAGACGAACAGCCTCGTATGACGTTCCTTCTGCTTGGAAAGCCCTCCGTGCCTCGAATTCTCCAAAAGAGCTGCTGAGCAACAAGTCCCTGCTGGCCGCCAGAGCAGAGGTTAACGCCGAAGTCGAGCGCTGCACCCACACGCCCCCCAAGTTTTCCGCCGACGGCCGCATCGCCGTCTTCCGCATCAGCTCAGAGGCCCAAGTCCACCCCGTCATCGCCACACGCTGGGCGGGACATCTGTCCTCATCCAAGCTCGAGGTTGTGTTGGTTGCCAACGAAGGATATCTGCCCGATATGGTCAACTTTTCATGTCGTGTTCCGCGCTGTGCCCGAGCCAAGGAGCCGCCAGTCAACATCATTGAGGTTTTGCGGGATGTCGCTGCTCGCGCCGAGGACACGACTTTGAGGGAGCGGCTAGGCGACTCATTTGCCAGAGGCCATAAGGAAGCTAGCGGCGGCATTGTTCCAAAAGCCGAGTTCGAGGAGTTGATGTCTGTCCTGGAGATTGGCAAGAAAGTTGAACGAGAATCCCCCAAAAAGGGGCAGAAGCCAGGGCAGTCGAATACCTTGTTGAACTATTTTGGAAAGAGTTAGATATGGTACAAGACTGGAGAACTTTCAGACTCCTCTGACCGATTTGTTTGTGCTCCGCAGAGCAGACCTTTGTCTCGCGATTCTCAAATTTCTGGACCGACTATACCCCGTACTGCCGCCTTCTGGAGTCTCCTATTGTAAAAGCCCTTTTCGTATCATAGAACATAGTCTTCCGAGGCTTCCCAAGGTTTCTTGATGCCGGAATTGCGTGTACCTCTATGATGTGCCCGAGTGGCGGCCCTGTTGGCCCAAAAGATGCCCACGTCTCTCCAAACGACGCAGGAGCCAAGGTCGTAGGTACCGTCTGCCCAGGGGCCAAATACATCGCAAACTGATTCGGTATGCCTTGTATCAAACGCTGATGTTGAATGGGAACCAGGGCTGGCCTATTTGGAAATCCGTCGTCGCTTTTCGCTGGTTGATATCGGTCTTTCCGTCCTGGAAGGATCAGTGTAACACAGCCGAGCTTCCACGCGCCCATGGCTGTTTTGGTCGCCGGTACAAGGATGAGGAAGTTTTGTTGTCTGACTTCATGTATTATTGGATTTCATAATGAATTGAATTTTCAATATCAAGGAAGCAGAATTATCAGCGACCTCCGTTGACTTTATGGTGAAGTGGGTAGGCTGTTGATGTGTGTCGCTGACTGATGCCTGTCGGCCTTTACGCAAGTCATTCCGCCACTGAAGTCAGCAGGGCATCTTGTTCTGAATCACTATCATCATTATTTGAGCTCTATATTTTGTTATGTGAGTTATATTCCTGCTCGAGCAAGGGATATCCAGCGCGTTTGGCATGGTTTCCAGCAATTATTGTTCCCCCGAAGTCGAGACAAGTTTTGCAAAGTCTGAATGTGAGTAGACAATTGGAACTGCCAGAGATGTGTCATAGTCTGTACTTCACACTCAATCTCTAGTCATCTCCAAATTACAAACGACGTTGAGTTACCCTTGGTCAGATTTGATAGTTACACGGTTGTCGCAATCCATCAACGCCACTCAGGCAACACTTGGGGACCGAATTCTGCTCGCCTTCCAATTCTGAAGGTGCCCCACACGGGCCACCACCGGGGTGGATCCCTATCGCCGATCATGAGCGACGCTGCGGATCGCGCATCGGGATCGTCCGCAAGGATCACTCCACGTTCCCAGCTGTGTGTTCTGGGTTCACGGCCTGCGGGGGGCCACAGTTTCCGGATCGATGTACCCGGAGACCCTTCGCTGTGTTTCCGTTTCCAACTCCGGCGATGCCCCATTCAGCCTTACACTCATGCGCATGGCTGTGCCCCGGCGATCAGGTCGGTTCCTGCGTCAAAGTTGCAGATTCAAAGAATCATACAGCTATCATCCATCGAGTCTATCATAACCTGGAAACCTTACTCGCCTTTGGACTATAGTAGACTGATTCGGTTTATTTACAACGACTCACGAGCGCATTGTTAATCACCATGAACAGGGAGCAAGCAAGTGTACGCAACTCTTGGTCGCCGTGCGCTCAGCACGACGAGCGTTGTCAGATTCCGATCCCCGGGTATACCTATGCTCAAGATAATAATACAGTTACAAAAGCGTATGCTGAATTTCAACCAGCTCTGGGTCCTATTTGCGTCTTTGCGCCTGTTCCTGATATGTTCCTGTGTTTCTTCCTTTTTTTTCTTTCTGTCTTTATGCAGTTGCTGTCTTCCTCGAAGTGAAGCGGTGGCTCCAATCCCGTATCCTTTTGGAGAAACTCCTCTTCATAGGCGCGGGTTCGGGCACCTTTTCGAGCCCGCCCAGATCGTCAGACTCGGCCGCATTGTCAGTGGTCACCGACTCGCCCCCAAGCTTTGTCTGGCGGCGCTGCATGAAGGCGGCTCCAGATGAGAATGTCCTCTTGGGCGCAACTGATGAGGGCTGAGTCGCAATTTGTTGCTGTACTAATGGTGGAGATGAGATCCGATTCATTTCCGTCGTTGACACCGGAAAGGTTGATGCACGACTCTGGCAGCTGCTGCCGCTAACAGTACGAGACTGTGCTGGTCTAGAGGTCCCCGGAACAGGAGACGCTGCAGACGATGCCCAGCCTTGGCCATGACGAAGGGATACCCATACGGAGGTTACGGTGATGAGGATTCGAGTCGCTTCATCGACAGGGTGAGTCTCTCGTTGTGTCGCGCCGTGGGATGCTGTTGGCAGCGATGGAGTTTCCTTGTCGCCGGTCAAATCCATGCTGAATGGTCGTGTAGGAGGATAACGACCGGAGGATTGTGATACGGTGGTGTAATTATCCAAGATTTCGAGATTAGCCGGCGTCAAAGTTGCCATAACGGGGTGTCGACGAAGCTGTGGATCGAGGACGCTGAAAGTGAATTTGTACTCCGAAGCAGCGGGGGTCGGTGCCGCGGTGCATGTAGCCGTGGACAGAGGCCGGGCACTACGTCTGGCCCATCTCGCAATTGTCGTTTGGCCAGCTTCGTCAACGTGGACGAAATCGTACGACCCATTGTTTGTTTGAGTGGCAGTCCAAACTGAACCGTCCGCCAAAACAATTTCCGTCTGTTCGCCAGAATCCCTCCGCTCGCCTTCTTTCCGCGACGAGACCGGCGAGATAACGGCAACCAAGTCGCGCTTATCGAGGTCTTTGTCATCCGAGTCAGAATCGTCAGCGTTATTGTCGTAGTCCTCACTCTTGGCCAAGATGAGGCCATTCATGCCCAGCTGTCCCTTGACTCTGAACATCTTGGGAAATCGTCGTGCGAGGCGAGGAAGGATCACTGTTCCAGCAATCATGCTCGAGGGGACGACATCGATGGCGGGCATGGGCCGCTTGTCGTTCGATAGTTGTTGTAGCTGCAGCAGAAGTCGCGGTCGGATGGACACGAAGCGTCGCTGTTTCGTACGAAGCTTTGGAGGAGGGTAGGCTAGCATGTAGTTGGTACATTGCCTTGCAGCTCGCCTTGATCTTTTGGATCTTTTCACAGTGCTTGTATCGCTAATCTCTGATACCAGACTGCCTTCGTCTTCGCTCACGCCATCGAGACCATGTGTTTCCTCGCCTACAACGGTAGGTTCTTCCTCGAAGCGTACGACGAGGTCCTTTCTTTGGACAAAGTCAGACACCGGTCGGATTCTGCGTACTGGGCGTGTAGCAGAGGCGGGCTCTTGTAATGAAAGGCGTCGGTTGATACGTTGTGTCGGCGTCTCGGTTTCATCGGTTGAGAATGACGATCGCTGAAGCGGCGATGCGCCTAGTGATGAACGTAGGAGAATATGCCTGCGCGCAGGCTGGTTGCCGCTGGCAGTGGTCTTGTTGGAGTATTCGTGCCCATGCAGGCTTGCGCCAGAATGGAGAAACATCGTGGTAGTCTGGAATTTAGTGACACGGTATTGATGAAATCATGGACGCGACCAGGGCGATATCCCACTCCAGTCAACGTACGATGTCGAAGGACGATTGCGTTCCAGTATTTCCCAAATGGAAATGCAGGCAGTAAAGCCGGCGTGGTTAAACCGACCGACAGGACGAGGGTTGGATCGTCTTATGCGAGGGGTATAAGCTCTCCACTTGCAGCTGGCCAAGGTGGGGTGGATGCTGATGCTGATGCTGGTAGCGGTGCAGTGCAGCTCGGGTCCTGGAAATTCCGTTCTAAGTGGTTCAATACCGCAAGGTGCGTTACACTGGTCTCGAAGTGTGCTTGACGTGGGATCGATCGTTACAGTGACTGGCAAGTCTTGTCGACACAGCGACGAGTATGGTTGATTGCGGCAGAGGCGTTGGGCGAGGCAGACGACAGGACAAAGAAGAGAGAAATAGGGGACGTCGATGCTGGAGAGCAGGCTGTGTGAGGGAATGAGCGGCCTACAAGTACATCATCTAGCGTCAGCCCAGAAACACCTTCTCTGATGAGGCTCAGAGAGCTATGCTGTATTTGGCGGGGGTGCAACACAGAAGGCTTTTGAATGGCTTGAGTGGCTTGACTCGTGAGCGGTCAGTGGCCCGGGGACCCAGTTGGCCTTGTATGTCCGTGGGCGCGGGATGGGCTGAGCTGAGGTGACGAGGGCAAAGAGAAAGGCAAGAGGCTTACAAGATGCTTGAAAAGTAGCGTTCGGTGTCCAAAGGGATCGTGTGATGGCGGGAATGATTCTTGGTTGACCCAGGGTGCGTATCCCGAGAAGGAGCAGCGGTGATGGAAACCCGCAAGTCTTCTTGTCTTGCAGAAGAGAGGGGAAATGGATGCGTAGTCAAGCTGGAGGAGCTGAGCTGAACAGGTCGGGATTCGTTTATCGCGTGACGTCTGACTTTCCGAAGTCAATGCAAACGTAAGTTCGGGTCGTCAAGAAAGAGGCTGCAGCGCAATGTCGTTTGTCTCTCGTGGAAATCGTGGAGTAGGTACGCAGAATATACCTGATTGAGCAAGAAGGAGACTGGAAAGGCTGGCGAGATATGCGGAAGGAGTTTGGCGAGAGGATCTGAGATGCAGGAGAGTGGTTGGAGAACGGACAAGGAGGAGCAGATGGCCACCAGGGTCCAGATGTATAGATGTAAGTTGAGGGAAAGACGGATGCAAAAGCAGGGGAGCCCGAGGCAAGGGTTGAAGGGAAGCTCAGGGAGGCAAGCTGAGGTATCCGAAGAGCAGGTTGAAAAAGACGGTAAGGTGTGTACCCCGTTCGTTTGTGCCGGAATGCGAAGTAGGTACTTTACTGGGTGTACAGTAGGTAGGTACTTGACAAAGGCGAGGCGAGGGTGTCAAGTGTTTTGGAGCCGATTTGCGAGGTGGGGAGATGGAGGGACGGAGCCGGAAAGGATGATATCAGGGGCTGACTTGATTTTGGCTTTCTCTCTCAGGTCTCCAGCGAGTGCGGGAAGCGCTGTGGAGGGGGAGGGTGAGTGCTGATGGAGTGGTGAGTGTTTACTGTGGGCGAGTGGGTGTGGGCGTGCGAGTGCCGTCTTTTGGTCGCCGAGGGGAAGAGAGGGGAGTCCCTGTCTTTCTTTGGGAGAACGCGATGGCAGACGCAGCGGGAACCTGGACTTGCAGTTGGAATGGTCGCCGTTTGGTGTGGTGTTTTTTTTCTTTTTTTTCTTTTTTTCTGGGTTCGGCGGACTACGTAAAGTATCCGTTCACAGGAGAGTCCGGGTACGTACACACTACCAGGTGCGAGGGTCGATGTTAGAGGAGAGGAGAGAAAGGATGTATGTTGCCTCTGGGACAATAACAGGGCGAACCGGCCTGCCGTCGGAGAAGAGAAGAAGGACGAGAGGGACGGGGGAATAGAAAGTTGCGAGGTTGGGCGCGCCGAGAGAGGAACGGAGATGGCAAATGTGCGAGAGAGAGAGAAGAGGAAGAGAAAAAGAAGATCCGACGGGAGCAGAAGAAGAAGACGAAGTTGAAGAGGGGACTTGGAGTGGGTGGAATGGGTACGTATTGTTGGGTGGAAATACAGCGGCGGAGATATGTACTGACCACGTACCTTTTCTTCGGTTTGCAATTCGATTCTCAGGAGGAAGTGACGATGTCCAAATGAACCGGGCTGCCCAGAAGGAGCGTAACCAGGGGGGGAAGGGGGGAAGGGGGGAAGGAACCTTAAGGACCCCAATCAAAGTATGAGCCAGGAGCGGTGCTGCTGCTCGGTACGGGCACCTACCTACCTTATGGATACAGGTACTGAGCCTTCTGCCCTGGGCGTGACGGGGCACTGAGGTGGGAGGCGAATTCCGGCTGTTTCTGTTGTGAACTTGTGCAACCAAGTACAAATTGGACACTGTACCTAGGTAGCTTACCGTACTGCGTAGGTACTTAGGTACCTTGACCCGACACGGTCAGTGAGCTTAGTCTGACATATGCGCTGCCAGTGCTCCTAGACTCAGTCTGTTCTGACTCTCTTGGGGCAAGAGCGGTACTTGCTGTCCCCCTTGGAAGTGCACTTGCAAATACGTACTTTCGCAAATCCCCTCAAAGCGGAAATTCAGGGGAAGCATCGTGGAAGACCAGGAATGTTGGTAATTCGTAAAACCTCGCTGCCTCTGGCAAACACTTCTTTCCAACTACTGTACGGAGTATATTCTACCGGTACACACTCATAGCCCCATGCCCCTTCGTGTGCTGAGTTACGGTGGAAACTTCACAGTTCTACCGTACTGGCCATCGAATGGCCCCAAGCAAGCCAAGCAAGCCAAGAAGCACCGAATGAAACCATGGATATTCTCCTTTTTCGGCTTCTCTCTCTCATATATCTCCTCCAACTCAGGCCCCGTCCATTGAAAGACCGCTAACAATGGAGCATCCGCTAACGTGGTGACGATGTCCATATGGTCAAACCCGTGCCGTGGTGGGAACCGGAAAGGCCCCACCTCCCTACGGTTCCTCTCCTCTGCATCATACCAAAACACCCTATTTAGCTGCCTCTGCCACTGACGCATAACTAGATGGGTATTGCTTTCCGTAGGTAGGTAGTTGGCATGTTCATCAGCCCAGCCTGGCATCGTGGCTTTTGGCTGCTTTGGTTAGTGGACATCCAGCTCGGCCGTTTCGATATGGGGTCGTCTGACCCAGTCTTTTGCGGAATGTGCTGTGCAATTTTGTGCTGCAACTTCAGCCTGGCTTTACCAGACCATTACGGAGTACATACACAAAGACTGACAGGGTAGCGACTGCCGCCTCCACATCGTCTTTGCATCGGCTCGTCGGCGAACTGCGAGACCCTAGATCGGACGGGACGGGGTTCCCTCTCCGACCGTCTGCCCACTGCACCGCTTCTTCGTGGACCGTTAGTGACGAGCTCCCTGACGGAGGAGGGGCCAGCTCCAGATCAGTGCTGATGGCCACAAGCCTCTCTCTGAGTATCAGCTCCTTCTGTGCGTCTGGCTAGAAACTTGCCTCGCTTCTTTGCTGAACTCCTGTATCCAGACAACACTCCTCTTGCATCTGTGTTGCAAGAGAATGACAGACAGCAAACTGTGTTTGTGTTTGCGTAGTGTTTGATGGGTGTCGCCGGTGAGGGCTGAACCTCCAGAGATGGATGGCTGGTCCAAATCTTCAGCCTTTCCGGTTTCCCCTCGTCTGAGGCTTGCCGAAAGAACTCTCAATCCTATCACATAACTTTGCCTGTAAAACACGGCTGCCGAGGGGGAGGTGCCCGGAAGGGTGGTTTACAACCACGTCGTCTAGTTTCTCGTCCGGCCAGCTGAGGACCACCATGGTAGCGCAGCTATAATCAGTTGGCTCCAGTACCAGTTGCGCGTCTCCTTCCCCCCTCCCGCCGCGGGAAGGGTTATCCCGAGTCCAGCCAAATGAAGTGTGGGCTGCTGGTGAACCTCCCGACTAGGAAAGCCAGGGGAACCAACATTTCGGGAATCGTCGATGCGCATTCGATTCGCAAGGCGTTGGTGAGAAGGACGGCGAAGAAACAAATCCGACCCCAACTCCGTTCATCCGTCATCGGTAAAAGAGCTGGCCTAATCTCAATCCCGTTGAATAGGTGAAAAGGCGGCAGGCGCTCCGTGTGTCAGACCACTCTCAGAGACCGCAAAGGCGCCGACTTTGAGGGCACATTGTTGGTGTCAGTCAGATGTTCTCTCCAAGACTGACCATCTGGATCACTGGAGCCCAGTCTGCCGCTGCGATCGGGCGCTAGGCCAGTAAAGGGCAGGCACACGCCGGCTGCAGTCTCGCGTGGGTGAGGTATGGTGGGGTCGTACTCGGATTGGATAGACGGCTAACTCGGGTCTCCCTTGCAAGCTGGCCTGGCAGGGTACGAGGGTTCATCTTCCCTCCCACAAAAGGGGATGCCCACATGCCACAGGACTGGGCATCCCAAGATGCGCAAGCTGTAGGTAATTATGTGCAGCTGTGTCTACGGATAGTGCGTCTGTGTGCGTTCAGAGGTGGGAAGATGTGTAGTCCTTCTCCCTCTTCTTGTTCTCCACTGTGCAAGTGCCACAGGGTGTCTGTTGTGGCGGGTGAATCACACTCGTCGGAGCACCTCATGAAGATTAACCGTAACATACCTTTGCTCGGCCTATACCCAAGCACCCAGGCTTAGCAGCCGCTGATTTGGGCCGGCGATCAACCTGGAACCGTGGTCGAGAACACCGCCCAGAAGTAGGGACGGGTTACGGGAGACGGGCGCCGTCACAGATGAAGGGTTAGCCTTTCTACGCAGTCGCAGCCACGGCGTGATACGTCTCGAGCCGATGGAAGCCCTAGATCAGACCGTCCCCCGAACCCACGATAGGCGTCCGCACCTTCTGCCCCTACTGCACCTGACGAACTCTGGACGCACGCCGAGGCTGCCCTAGCCGTGACACGTTGCAGGCCGACTGCTGTTGCTCAGAAGCAGTGATGTCGAGTCCATGGCATGTGTAAGTCTGTTTGTTTCGTTTCCAGCGCTTGTTTCGCGCTATCGTAACGAAAGCTTCTCGGGGAAACAGAAACTACCTGCAACGCCTACTAAGTGCACTCAATGTGTCTTCGGGTCTAACGAGCCCGGCTGATTGGAACCGTCTGAACAACAATTGTCTGGCCACGCTGTACCTGCACTTGGGCCATGACGTGTTGGGCGGAATGGCTGTTAGTGTCCCCGGACGGTAGAGCTGGTTTGGGTGATCAAGACCAGCTCTGGCGCTCTGGTTCTCGAATCTCAACTCTCGACTGAAATGAAAAAGTTGATTAGGAGGAACTACTGCCGCGAATTGTCTTGCCAATGTTGCAGCAAGGAAAGCAGCTGGGACAAGTTTAGATACCTAGGTAGTGCCTAGATAGA